CTTGCCCTCTTGCTCAACTCATACATCCAAGAAGAACAGGTCACTTATTCTTGAAATAACCGTGCCGATTGTAGTTTCACTCTTACTATTTGCTCTGTTTACGACCTGCTGTTACGCGAGAAAGCACAAGAAACTTGGTTTACCTGCAAAAGTTTTAGAAAATGTTCCACCAAGATTGTCTTATCTCGAGTTGATGAAGGCAACCGATGACTTCTCCGACGAGAATTTGATTGGCGTTGGAAGCTACGGTTCGGTGTACAGAGGGGTTTTGGGTGATGGCATAACTCTCGTTGCGATCAAGGTACTCAACCTGTTGCAGCAAAGCGCTTTCAAGGCTTTCGTCGCGGAGTGTGAAGCTTTAAGAAGCATTCGACACCGAAACCTGGTCAAGATCTTGACAACCTGCTCGAGTGTGGATCTCAGAGGTAATGAATTCAGAGCTATCGTGTTTGATTTCATGCCTAATGGGAGCTTGGAGAGTTGGTTGCATCCAGACACAGACAAGAAGCTATACTCGAAGCGATTAGGTCTGCTTCGGAGACTTGACATAGCAATCGATGTTGCTGCTGCGCTGAACTATCTTCATGACCACTGCGAGACGCCAATCATCCACTGTGATCTGAAGCCAAGCAATGTCCTTCTTGATGGCAACATGACTGCTCGTGTGGGAGATTTTGGCCTAGCAAGATTCCTCTTCAATGGCACCGACCGATATCTATCTTCTTCTGTAGCTATGAAAGGTTCCATTGGCTATATGGCTCCAGGTAAACCTTTGAATTAGAAGCTTTTCTGCAAAGTGAGCAGTCTTCTCATTCATCTGCTCGGGACATAATAAGAGGAAATGGTTTTAACGTGTGAATTAAATGCAGAATACGGGATGGGCGGGCTGGTTTCGACTCATGCTGATGTCTACAGCTACGGAGTGCTGCTGCTGGAGCTGTTCACCGGGAGGAGGCCTACAGACGACATGTTTAAGGACGGTCTCACCCTCCAAAAGCACGTCGAGGGAGCCTTTACGAAGGGAGCTCAGGTCACCGGCATTGCCGATCCATCACTATTCTCAGACGAAGAAGAAGGTGAAGACACTTCAGTTCTCAGGACCGGAAGTCAAGCGAGTGAAAGAATAACAAGATGCTTAGAATCGGTGCTCATGGTAGGTCTCTGCTGTGCCAAGGAGTCGCCGAGAGAGCGCATCACAATCAAGGATGCTGTGACCAGAATAGAGACGATCAAGAGTCTGCTGCTCACCCCTAAAATGTAGTCTTGGATTGGTATTTACTGTCATAGTTGTTAAGTTCAGATCATACGACACTCCACGTTTAATTCGCTTGTTTTGTGAAGGAGGGTAGTGTGTTTCTTCTGCTTCCTCTGTTCTCTCAGTTTATGTTGTTATTTCTGTACTCTAAGAAATAAAAGAATGTTAGTACGAATCATTCGTAATGTTGGTTCCAGTGAAGGTCGAGACAAAAGTGGTGTAGATTAAAACATTATTACCAATTCACAGTTCATCAATTAAGATTTGATTTACCGCTAAAAAACACTTTAGTTTTACGTACCATTTCTTTGGATAAATTAAAAAAAAAACCCTCAAGTTTTCAATTTTTCCTATAGATGTTTTTTTTTATTCTCACAAAACATCTATTATTTTTGAAAAATTATATCATATTTAATCCCATCATAGTCCACCCTGTAGTGGCTGAATCTGTCCTGCCACCTTTGACACTTATGATTATCCCATCTGTCACGTCCTTGTGAATGTCACTAAGACCCACAAAATATTCTCTCCCTCGTTGTCAAACCTATCATGCTAGCCTCTCTCCCATCACTAACATTGATTCCACCGTGCTAGCCTCTCTCCCATCAATACCCATCAATAACATTGATTTCATCCATGTTAGTCATAGTGCTACCCTATTATAATGGGGTTATAAGTGACATAGACCTGCATAAAGTCATCCACAGAGGTACCCTTACGATCGATTTAGGGTTTAGGATTTAAGTTCAGGGTTTTAAGGTTCAAGGTTTAGGATTTAGGGTTCAAGATTTAGAGTCTAGATTTAAGGTATAAGATTCAGTGTTCAAGGTTTATGATTTAGGGTTCATGGTTCAGGTTTCAGATTTCGTTTTAGGGTTTAGGGTTTCTGATTTAGGGTTTAATGTTATGGGATTAGCGTTTAGGGTTTAGGTTTTAAGGCTCAGGATTTTTGGTTTAGGATTTAGGGCTTGAGGTTTAAATATTTTGGATTATTTCTAATTTTACATCAAAAAATTATAAAAAATTGATAGATATATATTAATATTAATTTAGACTTAAATATGTTAGATTAGTGGTGATAAAGGTATGATGATATGATTGACACCTTGGCATTAGGTGATTGACATTATTGCATTAGATAGCCGACACCTTGGTGCCAAGTGATCGATTCCCGAGACTAAGTAGTGTTAGGATCGTTTCGGCACTAGGAGGAGGAGAGTGGTTTTGAATTAGTACTTTCATAAAAACGTCAGTTTGAAAATTTTCATTCAATAAAATCATATTAGAAATATATTTAACTTAAAGAGCAAGTAAGAGTAGTAGATAATTAAATCATTAAGTAATAATAATGAAAAGCGAAAAGTAAATGCAAACCGATTTTATAGTGGTTCGGTCATCGTGATCTATGTCCACTCCTGATTCCTCTTCCGTCAAAACTATCGGTTTTCACTACCAATCTTCTTTTAACGAGCGAAAATCAACTACTCTCTTGTAACTATTTTTTCTTTTCACATACTCAAGAGAGGACCTTTACACCTTTTTTTTAGATCTGACTCATCATTTATAAAACTTCTAACTTTAGGAGGAAAAGACTCACTAACTAAAGAGAAATTATATAATTTTTTTCTTAAGGGTTTTTCTCTCTTTCTACTCTATTTCTTGCTCATCCAAGCATAAATTAGTGGGGTATTTATAGACCCCAAATTGTTTCAAAAAATAGAGTTAAAATTTAAATACTCGAGATTTCGATGTACTAGCGATACCAACACCTGCAGCACTGACATTGGGCAATACCATCGCTTGACAATAGCGGTACTATCGTCGGGTTTTTGGAAAAAGTGTATTTTATACTTTTCTAGCTCATATGTGGTTCTATCATATGACCCAACTTTAGGTCACTGAATTGGCATCCCAATAAGCCTAACTCAATCTCAATTCAGGCCCAATGGACCCTTAATTAAGTTGACATGGTTATACTCAAAATCAACTCAAATATAACTAAACTACTTCGATCTAAACACACACGGTTACAAGACAAGAATACTATGTTGTACGACATATCATTGGTTCATTCGATGCTTTGTCCTTTCCTTCGGTGTATTGTCCAATCAGCATGTTGACCTTCCGTAACATCCGATCTCCTTAGTGCAATGTCTGGTCCTTCAATCCGATGCTCGAACTCATGGCACGAAATCCTTTTAGTACGTCGACCAATCCTTTGGCCCCACATCCAATCTTCTGACATGTTCCACTCCGCCCCGACGTATGATTCTTCTTGCTTCAATCAAATTATTTTTCTATGATCGAAGTTAGTCCAGTATCACTCAAACGCATATTCGATCATAATTTCATCATCAAAATTTGAGATTCAACAAGTGGTTGACACATGATCAACATCTTTCCCTTCATAGTTAGCATCGTGTGGCAGAACAATTCGAACGTTATGTACCCAGGATTTGATTTACCACTAAAAAAAATAGTTTTACATATTATTTCTTGGGATAAATTTAAAAAATCTTAAGATTTTAGTTTTTCCCATAGATGTTATTTTTTTATTCTAAAAAATATATATTATTTTTAAAAAATAATATTATATTTAGTCCAATCATAGCCCCACTTGTTACTCGTTGCTTCCACCCCGAATATGCCTTGCCACCTCTACCACTTATGATTATCCCCTCTATTATATCCTTATGAAGACTATTAAGACCCACAAAATATCCTTGCCCTCGTTGTTGTTAAACCCACCATGCTAGCCTCCTCTGTCTCGCTGCTGCTTCACTAGTAGCCTCTCCCCCATCACTTATACTTATTTCATTCGGGTTAGTCATTGTGCTACCCTATTGTAAAGGATGTTATAAGCAGTATATACCAGCAGAAAGTCATCCACGAAAGCACTCTTGTGATCAATTAGGGTTTATGGTTTAGGTTCGGGGTTTAAGGTTCAAGGTTTAGGGTTTAGTGTTCAAGTTTTAGGGTTCAAAGTTTAGAGTTTAGAGTTTAGGGCCTAGGTATAAGGTATATTGCCACGCCCCTTGAATTTAATTCTCATTTAAGAGGTGTGAACCTAACTCAAAATTGATAATATTAGAATTCAACAAACAATCCAGGATCTAAACATACATTTGAGGATACTAAGAAAACATTCAAGTCATTCACATTCATAATTTTACAATTCATAAAACCTGCGCAGTTTAAAATCATGTACCACATCATTCGATGAATCATAAAATCTAAAGTCAACTCACCAAGACAATAACTATATCATAAATCCACAAATGTGGTATTCTATATAATCACAAAACCAATATTTACCACATGTTCATATCATTATACAAATTAAACTTAACACTCCAAAATCAGAGGTCCTTTAAACTTTTACAAAACTCATAAATTCATATTTATCATAAACATTCCATTAGATACAAAGTATACTTATACAACAAAAACATATCATCCAATAAAGGTTTGCCTAAAGTCTTCTAGCTTTCCACTGCCTTAGCCCAATTTAAATATTTTAGCAAGCGACAAGCTATCCTGAAAAAAAATTATTAGCAACGGAGTGAGCACATAGAGCTCAGCAAGCGACTAATATATCCATGACGAAAGAGAACAATTTCAAATAAATATAATTTCAAAATACAAGGAAGAGATACAAGAGTTCATAAATAGCTACTCAATGAATGCAGAATTACAATATCATTTCAATGAAGCATGTTTTATTCATAGCAAAGGAGTAAGATTAGTTGGAGCATCTCATTGACGTAAGGAGCATTTTGGTTATCAATAGCATATGAAATGTTTCGGATCATATCAATAACAAATGAAATATTTCAAAACATATAAAAGAACAAATACGAAACAGAAGCTCAATGTCGCATTTGACATTGCATAATTTTCATTATTATCCAAAGCATACATAAAAGAATATAACCAAAGCTTTTGATATCGTATCAAACAGATAGAAGGTGAAGTGAGATCCCAAATATAAACTCCTATGTTTGGAGCATCATCCATCCATGTTTGTATGAAGCCAGAGGGGGCCGACAAAACATCGCGGGCTCTGAGCGTATACCCTTTACCATTTCTGGCAAAGGTCTAGATAATTTTTTTTTTATCATTTTTGGTAAAAGTCCAAATAATCCCATAATCACTCGAATATAAAAAGGACATTGTGAATAATAAAATTAGGACATATCAGAAATACATGCGGAACAATAGAATACATGTGCCTATACGAAACATTGTGATATAAACATGAACTTTACATAATAAAATCATGTATATAAATAATTAAAGGATAAGAGTATATAAAAATTTTAGGCAATTATGTAAAGCCCAACTAAAGTAATAGTTTTTTTTTTTTTGCTAAAATCAATTTTCAAAGAGAAGAAACAATAAGAGGCAAAATCGACCAAAGCTCGATTCTGACAGAATTTGAGAGATAAATTTTATGAATTATTTGTATGACCAATTATACTCTAATTTATATAAAATAGGTGTCATTCAAAAGATGTTTAATCTAGTTTTAGGTAAATAAGTTTTGCATGAATTGGAGTTTACAATAGGGAGTTACAAATAATTTTGTAGCAAAATGGTCTGAAAACATTAGTTCTGTTTTATTAAATCCATAGGGTCAATGAAAATAGATGTTTTAGTTTGTAATTGTATTCCAAAAATTTCAATTCAAGTAAGCACAGAAAGAATTTTGAGTCTAGTTTTCAATAAATTATACATTTCATGAATTTGAGTTCTCAGCAAAAAATTATAAGTAATGAAGCAAGTAATGAAGCAACAAAAGGTCAGAAATTACAGTCCCTATTTTGTAGAATCTGTAGGGTTAATTGAAACAGAAGATTGAGTAGGCATTTAAACTCTAAATTATTCATCTAGATATCAAAAAAAAGATCTTTGAGTCTACTTTCAAATGGATTAGGCTTTGACTAAATTAGAGTTTAGTACTAAAAATTAGGCATGAAATAATATATAGAAGTCAGATTATTAAAACGAAAAATGTGCTTTCGTCTAATCATGGCTTTGTATCAAAACGAAAAAAATGTCTAATGTTAAGTTAAAATCTTTCGAATTATATAGAATTAAAATGAAAATAGATATTAAAATAACTGTGAGATGAGGTTAGAATACTTATCTTAGAAAAGTTTGATTCCCAAATATGAG